TATCTTGAATCATGTCTTCGAAGTATCACTGCAGATGATTCCAAACGTATCATTAATCAAATATTAAAACTTATTGCAGAGGCAGATGTTTAAAATAATTTTAAAAATCTATTACAGTGTATTACTTTTTCATGTGATATTGTTTTTTTTTACAGTTTATTTAGTTTGTATATGTATGTGTTAAATCTTTAAATGACTGTTATGTTATGCAATATACATATACACAAAGCCACGCATGTATGATGTTAAGTAATATATTATTTAACGAAATCTTAATAAAAAGTAAAGAGAGTCGACAATAAATTCTATATTTTTTTAAATTTAAAATAAAGAAATTTTAGATAAAATATTTTATTTTCCAAATCATTAATCCTACTGTAAACATATATATTGTAATATACTTATAACCTAAACATAAATTTTTTATAATCTTTTTTTAATCTTAATTTATTCTTAATATTAATTTTTACAAAATATAGAATAAAAATAAATTTATTATAATAAGTTCTTTTGAATACTGTCTTCTTGCCAGGGTACTTTACCTTCGTTCATAAAATAATCCATGAAGGTATTTCTGATTTCACCAGCATGTTTACTATAATTATTACTGCAAGAATTGCTACTGTTATTTATACTTCTTAATCTCCATTCTTCATTAATTATTTGATCAGATAATTTATCACCGTAATCGTTTCGGCAGTAATATGAAGTGCTCATTAATAAATTGTGTAAACAAACAGTTGCTTTAATTATTGCATCACTTGTTTCAAGACTAGTATTTAAAGGTCTCTGCAAAATACGCCATCGACCGACCCATATTCCGAATGTACTTTCTGACACTAGTCGAGCTCTACTTAATCGATAATTAAATATTCGTTGGGAGAAGGTCAAATTTTTTGATGGATATGGTCGCATAGTAAATAAATTTAACTGAAATGCTTCATCAGCTACAATAACATATGGAACCTGATGTCTGGCACTAATAGCGGAAGGAGCAGGCAAATACATATTATTGTTATAAAATCGTTGTCCCATAACAGAATGTCTAAAGATTCCTCCATCGCTATGTTTACCTTGAGCACCAATATCGACGATTAAAAATTTATATGTGGCACTTACAAGTGCTAATATGACTATGCTGTGGAATTGTTTGTAATTAAAATATGTGCTTCCTGCTTTTTTAGGACACTGTAAAAATAATTTTAATATTAATTAAATTTGTATTAAAATTATAGATACTTGTTTCAATATTATCTTACAATTATAGCAATATGCTTCCCATCCATAG